GAAACTCGTAATAAACCATCAGTGTTTGACATCAAAGCTCCTGCTCTTCCCGTGTCTCCTTCATGAGTCGGTGACTCCCACTGCATTGCTACACAGAGGTTTCTCCCACACATCTAAATGAGTGTAATTTAGATCTAATTTTAACTTGTATCTTAATTAGATACAAGTTTAAGAATAAGACATGGAATACTAAACCGTCTTTGTTATTGTCAACAAATCACCTAAAAGAATACATCTTAAAACATCTAAACAGGCCATGGATACGTTGTTTTAAAAAAAAGCCTACACACTTTCCAAATACATTTGGGCCCTGTAGTGTCTTGTGAATGTTACTAAAACAGGAGAAAATATGTTTGTTTTGTACTATTTGTTAGCATGGATTGCTAGACTTATGGTGTAAAGTGAGTATTAACAGCAGCAGGATGGTATATGTGAAATTGACTTACAATAAACGACAGTGCCTATGTACATTATAATGAAGAACCAATGACATAGTACTGTAGGATCAATTCATTTTTTTTTATACGAAAACATTTCTACAAGAATATATAGAATGTTCCTTAGATTTGTCTTTTAGGACTATTTGTAATTGTTGGAATTAGGCACACAGCAATTACGGTTAAGCAAGGTATAGGTCAATACGATGTCCTCACAAGACACAACATGAGGGTGTGTTTGTGTGTGCCAACGAATGCCATCTCATCCTGTTCTTAATCCTTCCAAGATTGAGGTCAGAGTGGCTATTGGAGGATCTCGGTGTGTTTACAACCCCCGCCTGACCCTGGGAAATGATGAGATTGGCTGTCGTTATCTCATCGGTTGTGTCTTTCAGGCGGGGGAGTTTTTTTGGGGGGGTGTGGATGTAATATTTCATCCCAGTTGTTATCAGAGGCCCTCGGCATCTTGTGGGAGGGTTGCTATGGCAATGGCAGGTTGTAGCGTAGGTGTGTTTTTGTGGAAACAGTATGTCTACTTGAGGCTGCCGTTCACTCAGTGTTGACACAAGAGTCCGAGTAAGAGAACTTGGCAACACCAGGTCATTGAAGAGGACGCTTGCGTAATGAAATGTATTTACATTATGTCTTTCAGTCAGAACACTGAATGGTAACAAAGGTCTTGGCAAAACAGTTTGAATCTTTTCACAATATTAATGTTATTTGGTTGTTTGCGAAATCATATTTCAATAAGATAAACCATTTTAATAACCTTGATTCTACTGACACACAACATAATACAAAAATAACGTCTTCTTTCTTTAAAACCCCAATCTTGTTTATTTTAATTGCTCAGAAACATTTATTTAGACATCTGTAGAACAATAACTTGAAATTGTATCTTCACAACATGATTCCACTGAAAGTCAGTACATGATAATATTGAGGAATTATCACCCAGCAGTAGCAACCATTAGTAGGAGATGATTACTCAGCGTAGACCTGCAATAACATAGAAAAGTGCCCTCAGTAGAGTGCAGATATCTGCATCTAGGTGTGTCTCCCATCCCAAACAAAGAACAGATGAATTTGACTAAATTCTTCCCCGGCGTCCTTTCAGTCGCTAAAAAGGAGTCTGGAGTCAGCAGTCAATGACGGTATAAACAGAACAAAAAAAATGTAATTACTGCAAACATAAGAGGTCCTTGAGATAAGGTCAAATATGAGCACAAATAAACATAAGCCTGAAGGGTCCAGTAGTACCTGAGGTGATCTGCGGACAGAGAGATACACACACTATCACACACAACACATGCTCTCCCACAGGCTTTTGCCATGCAGAGATATTAAGCATATTTATACAAACACTAATAAAGGAATACTAAGACTCCCATGTTAGTCATTTTATCATGCAACCAACAAACAAATATATCAGCAGAATAGTTTTATTCCTGCCCTTGACTACCATTTGCATCCCTTGCTGCTTGAATGTTCATCAAGCACTCAAGGTAATGAAGAAGTGGTTGAGAGCAGTGGTTCCCAACATGGAGGTCCGGACCCCAGTGAGGGTCACAAAAACCTGTAAGGAATTCTTGATTTGAATGGTGGAAGAACCTTGTAACAGGGTATGGGCGAGGTAAAGACTTGAACATATTCAGAGCCTTTCCTCTCTGCTAAACAGCCTTGTTCACATTAGAACATTCCACATTTGAAACTAGGGCTGTGCAATTAATCGTATTTTAATCGCAATTACGATTTTGGCCTGCCACAATTACGAAAACAACATAATCGAAAAAAACGATTATTTTGCTTTGCTAGGTTGTGACAGTGCACTGCAACATATTTGATCAAATCTATTTGTATTTATCATATTTATATATGTTTAGTAGCTTGTTGAAGTGCGCTCCAAAATATTTGTTGATCTTGTTTATTGGTATTTATTATTTTGATATTTATTTAAATGTAGATATAAATGTATCATTTATTTTATTTATTTTTGTATTGGTTTTTCAGTTGAATTATACGTTATGGGAAATCAACAGTTAAAAAGATACTGTTCAAATTATTATTTGTATTTAAAAGTTCAATAAATGGATGTTTTCAAAGTCAATGAATAATCGTATTTAATAATCGTGATATCAATTATTGACCAAAATAATCGTGATTATGATTTTTGCCATAATCGCACAGCCCTATTTGAAACAAACGCAGAGCTAACCGGGAGAAGAAAACAATGAATTCATTAAAAGTGTGTATGACTTGTTAAAAAAAAACATAAGAGAGATGTTACACCAGGGGTGCCCAATAATTTTTATTTTAAAGTTAGCCTTTCATCCATCCTTACTATGACATTTGCCACTTGATTGACGTACAGGTAAGCCAGTCCGAGTTGTATTGTGCCATACGGGTTCATGCAGTTATGAGGGGGCCTCACCTCCTCATCTGAAGCGCAAATGCGGCGCACTATTATGCGCTTATGCGGCGCAATTAGTGTAAGCGCGCCACAGTTTATCCGCCGTGTAGTCCACTCGCACCGCTCGCGACACAGATGGTGCAGGGGCGGCCCTGTAGGTAGATCATTTGGGCTTGGTCATTTTAAAAGTAGCTCCCAAGCTGAAAAAGTGTGAGCACCCCTGTGTTACACATTAAATACAATATGAAATAACCATAAACGATTTCTCCATATTCTGGGGTTATTAGCTTACTCAATTATTTAAAAAAAAGGGATCCCTTAAGAAAAAAGGTTCAGAACAACAGCTTTAGGAGACATTTACATATACATATATTTTCAAGATTGTCTCGAACTATTGCAGGAAACTGTTTATTCTTGTCTGGACTTAATGTACCTCCACAAAGCAGCATCTCATTAGAGCGCCACTGTGTCTGACCCATCTGATTACTCGCTTTCTTTTCCTGCCACTTCTGCTTTATCGTTGTTTCTTTCTTGAGTGTCTTGTTAAACTCCAATAACCAGATGTCATGCCTCCTCTCCGCCTCCTTTATCTTTTTTTCTCTGATCTCTATGCCTTTGTTCTCCCCCCGTTTGTTTCATTAGTGGTGTCTGTTTCTCTGTTCTCACAATCCCCATCTCTCAATTGAACTTGTGTTTTCCAACAGAAATATGAGCACACACACAGAGGATGTATGTAGTGTGTGTTTGCTTACATTAAAAGATAGCAGTAATATAGCTTTTTTTCCCGAGTCTATGTTTAGTCATCGCAGGTGAAGCAAAGGCCTCGAACATGCTGATTTGTAGTCTTCACAATGACAATCCCTTAAGAGCCTGAATAGCCAAACATCTTGACAAAGCACTCTACCAAGATAAACCCCCACAAAGCACTTCCATTTTCTGGCTTTTAAGAAGGGCTCACAGTCACCACATGGCAATGCAAGAAAGCTTCTCTGCATTATTCGCTCAATTCATTTTTATCTCATCTTAAATGGTTGGCTGCTGTCAATTGTAAACACAGTGTGTCTTTGTATATTCTCCTTTTCTTAGGTATAGTGTATGTGCACATACACGTGTATTATGTGTTGTGACATTATTCATATGCAAGCAATGCAGCTTCGTCACGCATTGAATAGGGAGCAAACAGGATAGTCTTAATGTACAACCACACATCAAGACACAGTTGAGAGCTATCACTCAACATCCTGGGACTTTTCATCCTTTTTTGTCGTCATTAATGCTAACATTTTGGAGCTTGAGATCAAGGGATATTTATCAGTCTCTTTTCCTCTCTTCCACACACATTAATACACAGCGGCCCTGGTAAATATCCAAAAATACTCCATTAGCGCCTTTTTAAAACCTATGCATGTTTATTTCTGTCAGTGTTTGCAGTCTGCTTACTGAAATGCACACATCTTGATGTCTCAGTTGCCTCCCTGTACTTGACTGTCCCCCTCTCTCATCTCCACTGTTCTCCACCATCTGGCTTGAAGTCTGTCCGCTGCACTCAGTTTTATTTAGATAAGACACATTTATAACATCCATTTTTACCTGCCGCTTGCATATTGTAGTACGCGTGATCAAAACATTTTTGAAAAGTTTAATGAAAGCGAGTGAAGCTGTAAGATGCCAGTGTGGAGCTGGTGTGTTTGCTATAGAAAAACCAAATGGGATATAATCAGCCTGTAAAAAGTGCTGGAGGCGCCTGTCTGTGTGAGATAGAGAAAATGCCATCAACGCACGATGGCATGTGAAAGTCATGTATTGACGAGAAAATAGAGGGCAACAACCTCAGAACAAAAGCTTGGTTGCATTAACACTTTTACCTCTCACTGGGGAGTACATCAGATTTGGAACCACTTACAGCAAAAGGCCTGTTAGTTTGCACTTCAATATATATATATAATAAACAAATATAGTCAGCTTTGTTATATCTAAATATAACAAAGCTGTCTATCTAATAACATGGTATTTCAGTTTTTTTTTTTATAGACTGGTAGTGGGTTCATACAGTATGGTATGTAAAGAAAGGGATAACTCTGACCTGCCCTGACATAAAGGAACCTTTACATATCCTCACTCTCGTGCTAATTCTTCTCTCTTCTTCTTTGCAGTTATCGCGGACTCGTTGACAGTAGTAGCTCCCGCCCAGACTCTGTCCAAGGTGGAAGGCGACACGCTGCAGCTAACCTGTGAGGTATCTCGGACCACCCTGCAGCACACTCACTTATCGGTGGGCTGGTACCTGCGCTCCCCAGAGGACGCGGCATCCCCTCCCCAGGAGCTGGTCACCCTGTCGAGGGACTTTGTCCTGCGCTCCGGGGGCCCGTACCGGCAGAGGATGGCGGCAGGGGACCTCAGGCTGGACAAAACCAGTGCCACTTCCTACAGGCTGACTATTCACAAGCTGCAGCCAGTGGACCAGGGCCTGCTGTACTGCCAGGCTACTGAGTGGATTCAGGACACAGATGGCAGCTGGTTTGCCATGACCAGAAAGCAGAGCGAGAAGACTCAGCTCCGCATTCAGCCCACTGGTGAGTCAAGAAAAGAGAATCTGTAAAAAATAAAAGAGAGGCATAGACAGGGTAAATATGCTGCTCTCCTCTTAGGTCCCCCCTGTCCTTTTGACAGACACACAAGCACACATGTGGGCCGGCTTCCTCTGATTGCTGATCAGTATCTCCCACTAAGCTCATTAGCTCACTAAAAAGGGCTTAACTAAACCTCCACAGACTCTGCACTTTTGTATTTGTGTCTGTTTGATGGGCAACATTACAAGCACATCCAGGAATAACTTAACCAGCTTGGAAACAGCATGGCGGTTTGACAGGGGAAGACCTATGGCTTCCACATTTACAATTTCCCAGACAACCAGTGAACCAGGGATCGGAATGTAAGGATGCTTTTTTCATCACTCTCTGCCAACAATTACACCATTCTAGTTCGTGCCTGAGTGCATTAGTGGGAGAGTCCGTGCTGGTTTGGTGCGGTTGCCAACTCTGAAGGAGGATATTGTCTAATGGAAGGGAGGAAGGGAATTACTTACCGAGGAAGGAAGGAGCAGGGAGAGGGAGGGTTGGCGGGGGACGTGGGGAAGAGTAAGAAACAAGGGGAAAGTATGTGGAAGAAAGGAACAGTTTGTTGCTGTGGCTCATTGAGGAGTATGCCTCATATGATAATGATCTAATAAACTGTCAATCGCAGACTTGATAGACCAGAACCAAAGACGGCTTTACGACTCCCCACATGTACTTATAACCTCCCATCGACCTGACCCCACCTCACCCTCTGCTGTGTAATGCGCATACATAAAGAATGTCTTTCTATGCTTCCAAGAAAGGGCCACGGAGATGGGTGATAAACCGCTTTGACGTTAGCTCAATTACCAAGGCAGCACGCAGTGGCGAGTGTCTCATGCCAGTAAATCACTTCAAAGTGGAATCGTTTTGCCTTTCTCCATTAAGCATCAGATCCGCTCTGGACCAATACAACTTGATGGTGCCCCAGATAGTGCTGGGTGGATGAGAAGGAGAATGGAAACTCAGATGTAAAGCAGGTTTGTCAGATGAGTTCCTGCTACTTCAGGGTGGAGACAAAAGGCACTCATAGCTCCCCTCTCAGCACCCTCCGTCACTCTCCTTCTCCTCTGTAATCTATAATAGATGGAGGTGTTGTTACGTGACAAAGAGAATACGGCAGAGTTATGCTGCAGTGTGCGGCTTGGGTGTGAGTGCTCAAACTCGAATGTGGATACACTTAGATTTCTTATGTGTGTGCTCATCATTGCATGATGCAAGCACCACTTGCATACCTTTAGGCTGAACTTGTGTGTTTATTATTGCACCTGTCCATGTGCAAATTCGACAGACGGAGAGAGACATTTAGAAAAAAGAAGCGGTAGCTCCTTCATTAGGTTCTTATTATAAAAGATGGAGTGGATCTCACGACAGCCCCACCGCTAACTAATCACCCACCGGCAGCATCAGAGAGAGTAGCAACGGACAGAATCCTAATGTACCTTTCGCTCTCGGTTTTTACCATCTTTCTCTTTTCTCTCACCTCCTCCCTTGTTCCCCACTCTCACATCACCGCTCATTTTCTGCAGTCATGTCTCATCACTGCATTTCTCTCTTCTCCCTCGGACTTTCTCCATTACGCACTTTTTCCTTCGCCCTTCTGCTTCTCGCACTTAGTTCTCTCTTTTTTTTTTTTTAATTAGCTCTGAACACTACTAACACATGCTGGACCTGTGAGGCTGTTATTTACCCCTCGGCATCCTAAGCTGAGCTCTGCTGTAAAAATGGTTTAAAAAGAGCTCCATGTTCAACTTCCTTCACAATTCATCCCATTCAAATGCCACGATACAATGACTTGCTGTCCTTTTGAAAGATTCAGGAAGCAATCGGTTGGACTTTCCCTTGACCCTGATGTCATCATTTGCATCTATATGTTCCCCACTGCTGCGAGTAATTATTCTTTCCATCAGACATTATACATTATTAGTATTGGCAGTAGTGCTATTAATAGTCGTTGTATTGTTATAATACAATTATTGACAAGATTTATTCCTTTTAATGTTACCTGAATTATGATTGTTTTAGCTAAAATGACATATTCCTAACTACACTACTATGATTTACATGCTGTTTGTCTTTTAATTAAAGGCATCCAGCTCTCAGGCTCAAAAGTCTCTATTTGACTTGTTTGTGTGCGTACCTTCATATGTTTGTTTATGTGTAAACAATATCCCTCTTCCTCCCACCTTAATGTTCCCCATAACAAGCTCAATACCAACGTCAAGCTTTGAACTTTTCCACATGAGTGTGTTTCTCAGGAAGTCTTTGTAATTACAGCTCGGGGCGACCACTTCACTGAGAGGCAAAGCAGCAGTCTATGATACATACTGTGCTTATCATCTGGAAATTAATACAGCAAATCAAACTGAACTCCCAGCCATACACACGCACGTATGCAAGCACAACCGCACATGTGCAGACAACAAGCTTAAAGGAGACATGTCATGGCCATTTCCACTGATCATAATTCCATTGTTGAGGTCTACTAGAATAGATTTATATTGTGCATTTTTCCAAACTCACATTGGTTTCTCATACAGCATCTCTGTAAACTACTTGTATTCACTGAATTTCACTCTCTGCCTTTAACAGCTCGTTGTAGCTCCAATAGCTCCAGCCCCCACCCTCCCTGTGAGCACAGTGTGTTCTGATTGGTCGGGACGTTGTGAATCGCGCTGAGCTCCGTGGAGGTGTTGTTTCCTTGTTTAGGATACACAGCGAAACACAGCCAAACTCATCCTGAGCACACACAAACTCACAGCCGAAGTAAAAACAATAAGTGTGGCTTGATATTGAGTAAGAAAAAGGTTGATAAACGCTGTGAGAATGGGTCTGCAGAGAGAATTTTGCCGCCATCCCAACTGTCTGTTATCAGCCTGCAGCCAGGGAGGAGAAATCAGCTGAGCTGCCTGCACTGTGTGTGTGTGTGTGTGAGGAAGTCCGTGGATTGGTCAATTTGGACCAATCAGCGGGGGCTTAACGTAACGGCTCCGCGGACGTAACGTAACGGCTCCACGGATTGGTCCATTTCGTTCCGGGTACGGGATTACATCATCCCGTACCCGGAAGAATCAAATGGACAGTGACGTATCTCCAACGAGGCGTTTTGGGGAGGTATTTTCTGTGTTAGAGTTTTACTCGCTACAGGGTGTACTTTGAGGGTTTTGACTCTGCACACCGTTTACATGCATAAAAACCTTCATAACACACAAGGGGACGGGTAATAACCGGAAAAGCATGACATGGTCTCCTTTAATGTGGAGGAGCTAGCATTAGCAGTTGACTGCTCTGTTTTAGACTGTGCACTGCAGGGGCATGAGGAGAGTGCCTGACTCTGTTTCAGACTGCTGAAGAGAATTTTAATCAGATGTGTTTTTTTTTATTGCAGAGGTGAAACCAAGCGGGCTCTGAAAGATCAGCGTTTTACTGGAGTTATGCACTGCGTGACCTTAAGCTTCTCCAGCTTTTATTCTCCCTCTAGCTCACTCCTTTTTTCTGTCCCTCTCTCTAACTGATGTTATTTTATTGCCCCCACCTATACCTGACCCTCAATCTCTGCACTCTCTTTAAGTAGGATGCAGGTTCAACATATACTAGACTGTGGATATTAAGATGAAGGCAGTGTTGTGCATTTCAAGTGTAGCAGACATTAAGAGAGAAAGTAGAGAAAAGTAGTTTGGGATCATAAGAGAGATCTCCCCCACACCTACGCTCTTCCATTCTGCTGCTTTGTTTTAAATCTAGTGCAAGGATTTTTTTACAGATATTGAATAAATATAGTGTCTCTCTAAATCACAGTGATAGTAAACGTTCCAAAGGGTATATTCTTTTTTGTTTTATACACCACAGTTATATCAAGGTTTTCCAATGCAATACTTTTTTTGCTGCTAGCCAACCACTTTCAGATTGTAATACTCAACATTCCTTTAACTTTTATTCCTTCCTTTCCCCCCCCCCCCCCCCCCCATCTTCTTTACTCAGATCGGGACTTTAGCATCCAGGTGAGCACGGACCGTCGGTCCTTTACGGCCGGTGAGCCGCTGGAGCTTCGCTGCACCATTGAGGCCCAAAACGTCCCAGAGCGCTTCTTCTCGGTGTCGTGGGTCTTCAGCAGCTCACCGGTGGCCGTGGTGGGCCCCAGTGCTGTGCCTGTCCTGGGCCCCGATTACCTAGCCCGCGAGGCTGCTGGCCATATGACAGTGCGCAAAGAAAGCACCAACGTGCACTTGCTCAAACTGCAGCACCTACGCCCAGAAGATGCTGGGAAATATATCTGCCGGGTGACAGAGCGGGAGAAGACGCCCACGGGAGACTTCATCGACCGCAGCAAGAGGTCTCGCAATGTCCAGATCACAGTCCAGCCGCTCAGTGAGTAATAATCTGTTCACAAGGCCAATGGCTTAGTTGTCCTGTCCTTAGTTGTCAATTACACTAAGAATGATGAGCTACTCATAATAACAGTTTTATCTTCATGTAGGCAGCATGAAATGTCACGCTGTGCTCCTCTCCAGCCTCCCTCTGTCTTCCTCTCTCCATCACCCCCTCTGTCTTTCTCCAAGGTGGCCTATAACTGATAGCCGCACAACCTGTATTGTTAACGGAAAATAAGACGGCGAAAGGATGATGCCTACTCTTATTCCTGATGTATTTTTCAGTTTGAGTGGATTGTTAAGGGGATGGTAATGCAGCATTATGGTCCTTTCCATTCCCTTGGCTTAGCTGAAAGGGAGGGGGGGGTGGGTAACACTATAGTCGGATAATGGAGAGCAGAAGAGCCAAGACTCAAGAAGGCTAAGCTAACAGCCATGAAATGAAAGTGTGGAGAAAGAAAAGAAACAGAGAAAGGCGCCTAGCTCTCCAGGGCCCGCTAAGTGGATCCCAAGACTAAATGAATGTGTCCTGCTGGGGCAGACTCCTTCAGATAGGTTAAGCATGGCTGGCCGGGGGCGGGGGGGGGGGGGTCATATCAGATTTTCTGCTGATTGATGCAACTGTACAAAGCCCTTTCCCAATAATATCAACAAGATTTTTCCCTTGTCTCTTAGGGATTAAACAGTGAGTGGAGCCAGCTGCTACCAGCCTAATAAAACATAATAATCACAGAGTAGCATCTCCTCCGAAGCAGCCAGCGCTACCTACCCTGACCGCTCTGCACCCCCCGCCCCCCCCCCCCCCTGCTAAATCAGCCCAAAAACAATGGCCCCGAGCTTGCAGCAATCTCCAGGGAAGCTCTCTGTAGGGGAGGTTTTGTTTTCCCGACAAAAGTCCGTAATGCCTCCATAAAAGATGTTTATAGGGTTTACACAGGATAATGGCCATGGTTATTGGAGGAGAACTCATATGATATACAGCAGAAGTGGTCAGGCCAGCATGTATTTGATGCACAAACAGTCCTCTCAGGCCTGCTTTCTCACACGCAAACTATTTTAAGATGTTTTTCATCACTCTAATTGGGGGAAATGGGTAAAAGTTGGTAATAGGGTGCAACAGGGGTTAAAGTTAATGAGTCAGAAGCAGTCGGGGGTGGAAGCGTAGGAAAAGCCGAGGTAAACACTTCTGACTAATCGGCGTTGATGGAGGAGTTTACCTTTGCAATGGGAGAGGGGGAGAGAGTCTTCATGCCACCCTGAATCTATTTCATACAGAGAGACCGGACATGTGCAGGGTGGGGGAAAAAAGAGAGGGGATACACTGTTATAGAGACTAAATGCATTGTGCAGTTCAAAAGATAAAGAAGAAGTTGCTGGTGGGGGAAATGAGAAGAAAGTTCAAGGAAATGTTAGAGAAAGGCAACGCTGTCTAGGAACCTGACACTTGGAAAGTAGGAAGCATGTATGTATCTACCGCCTAACAAACCTCTCTGCTCGTCTCGGTGTAAAAACGTAATAGAATACAATATGATCTAAGCTATGGGGGGAAAAAATCTGGCTATTTTAACAAAATACAGAAATCAGAGGAAAGGGTGAAGGTTTTCCCCTTTGTTCATTTGAGCGTGATAGAAATAAGAAGCCAGTTTATTCCATATTCACAGACACCTCATGCTTATTAGGAGGGCCGACAAGCTGAGAGGGAAGCAGCAGAGCTTGGCCTGAGGGGAGATCAAAAAAAAAGTGAAGTGGGAAACCTTTAGATTCATCCCCAAGAGACAGAAGCACTGGCCCTGCATGGCTAAGAAAGCTTTTGGGTCAACCAGAGCTCCATAATGTTTGATGGACGTTGAAGTGATGAGAATCGAGATAAAGCAGAGAAACAGAGGAGCACCAGTAAAGACTTTTATCCTGCACATCTTCTGAAGTACTGCTGAGCCCTGTGATCTAAGCTTTCTTTTCTGTTCCCTTGCGTACTTGGTCAACAAGCCACACAGGGTTCAGAAAGAAAACCTCAACCCACACAAATCCACCAGGCCCTCCTCTCAGGCTGTCACTATAATGTGCCGGAGGCCAGTTACAAAAGTGCACTATAGTCCTCTCAAATTTGGGCTTGCAGGCACACACAAACATCCAAACACACATGCACAGCATTCAAACAGGACTTTGTGGTGCTTTACTCCAGAGAACAGGCTCAGCTATTTGTTATATTGCCCCTGGTTTCCTGTAGTCTCTGAATTTTTGAACACAGACAGCGTAACTCTTGTTGCCTCTGGGATTCAGCGTGAGAAGTAGTTGACATTTTGAGGGGAGTTTGTGCTACTCCATTCATGGGTTCCCACCTTAACTCAAGCTAATCTGTGTCCCTCTCTCTCTTTTGTCTTCTTCTCAGAGAGCAACATCACAGTGTCTCTGTCCAGCAACTCTACTGAGGTCATAGAGGGCGATGTGATCCACTTTTCCTGCTCAGTCTACACCACTACAGGCCCTCTGTCTGTTGTCTGGCAGTGGACAGACAAGCAGGCAGCTGGACCGGGCCTGGAGGTGGCCACGATCGATCGGGAAGGCACTGTATGGCACAGTGCATCCTACAGAGAGCGCTCCAGCTATGGGGAGATACGGGTGGAGAAGGTGCGGGCCGACACATTCTCTCTGTCCCTGTATAATGCCTTACCTGGGGATGAGGGTCAGTACAGCTGCACAGCCACTGAGTGGCTCCAGGCCGGCACTGAACCAGAGCTCAGCTGGGAGAAGATAGGAGAGAGATCGGCCACCAAGACGGTCACAGTCAAGACTGTTGGTAAGTTACTGCAACCAAATCTAACCCTATTATTACCATTTCGCAAATTCAGCAGAAAAGTTGTGGAGATGGGGGGGCTGTGGGGGCTGCACCCCTCCTGCTGGCCGGAGCAAACAACTTATAAATATAATTGTTCCCTTTAAATAAAATCTGATAAACATCTGGAAAATGTAATGAATACATGTTAAGTATTTGGACATAATTGTGTGCCTTTGCCCCAGCTAAAAGACATACTTAACACAAATGTGTATGTACAAGTATACTTATTCACTTTAAATAACAAAACAAAAAAAGGCTATGTGGATAGAATGGACACAATACTCAGCAGTGATCAGGCTGCATCTGTACACAAGTGGATATCAGTCTGTAAATGCTAAGCCTGTATGTTTAAGATGAGCAGCAGCTGAGTTTGTTGCAGGTTTATATACCCTGGATCATATCGTTAATCTTTGTGATACTATATTGTTACCTCACAAGGTTCCGAATTATCTACAAATGTACTCCATCTGTCAACCGATTATTGTGCTAGCAAGTCAAATGTCAAGTGAATTCACATATCCAGGGCAGCCTCCCTGTTAGAAATACATTCCTGCATGCGCAGTAAGCCATCGCACACATGCGCTCCAAATGAAAGAGAGGCATCTGGTTTGTGATTTGCTAAAGACTGATGAACGGCGCAGGCAGAAAATGTAGCCCGTAGAACACACCATGGTTTATTCATGCACAGCTCAAGGGAAGGAGCTATTATTACTATTACTCAGAATTACACACAAATTACACACAAACACACACAGTCTCACACCACCTGCCACACGTCAAGAGCTGTGCTTCAGTGACACCCATCATAGATGCACACATGCTCGCACACAAACACACACACACACACACACACACACACACACACATATATGGATTAACCAGAATTATTAGAATGGAAATGCAGCGGCAATGTGTTTCACAGTCTGTGGGTCTCCTCTGTCAGTGCTGAGTTAAGCTGAACATCCTCGATACAGGCGGAGGAATCCACTGGAGCAGAGCAATGAGGAGCTGGCAGACCAGGAGCACTGGGCTCAACACACACACACAGACACACACACAGAAAACCAACGGATTAGCTCCCTGCAGCAGCACACAGCGGTGCTGCAGAGAAGAGATGTCAGTTTTTAAGTGGCCATTTGTTAAGTTCGGACAACAACACAAACATTAGTTAAAGGAACAAGGGACGCATTATGCAAATCAATGAATGGAAGTCTGAAGCTGTTCGTCTCTCTTCAGTTACATCTCCTCTCTCTCCCCTATATACTTGTTGATCAAAGGATTTCTCTAAATGTGCGCTGTTGTGTGACGGTCAAGATTTTGGTCCTCGTTTTTCTTACTTTAGCTTCCACTTTCATTTTTATTAGACCTACGCCAAAAGAAGGAGAACCTTTTCGCCCTATATTTCAACTTTCTTATCTTCGGCTTCTTTTGTATTGCTCCTTGCCCCTAATGAATAAAAAAAAAAGGTAAAACTTGTGCTCTGGGTTCCTTCCAAGCTCAGGTTGTGCTGCACACTCTCTGACCTGTCCTCTGAGTGTACTTGAGTGTACTGTTCTACTGGCTGAAGCTCAATATATTATATATGGTCACTGTACCTTTATTATAGATCCTTTATGGACCCTGGATGCTACTCCATTCCTTTATAGACTCCCGGTGCTCACTGATAAGACCTGGAGGGGATGAGAGAGGGATGTCCTCTGGGGGACTCATGTTTTTGTTGCCACGGTGAAGACAAAGATGCTTGGTAGAGAGTCTTGTTTCCAGCTGATAGGCTTACGATGCCCTCAGGATGTCTTGGGTGGCAAGTGTGTACAAGTGAGAAGCCTACATTCATGCATCCACAGGCCAAACATGTATAGTAAACTCCCACTCAAGCACTTTTGCACAGAGCAGGAAACAAACGCATTCATGTTTCTTCACACAAACAAAGAGAGATGGTTGTATGGGAAAAATGGATTGGTGTGAAATCCTCTTTTCTGTCAGAGAGGCAGGCAGACAGTGAGGGAGATGGATAGATGGAAGAGGGGCGCAGGGAGATAAGAGATGGAGTGAGAGGGGTGAGTTATTGTCTATTAGAGAATTATGTCCCGAGGCAGCTGTCCCAGCAGTAGCCAAGTCTGGACAGAGAGCCATTGATTACACACCCTGAAGGACATCGAGGGTGAAGCTGTCAAAGGGGGAGAGAGGGTGAGGGACAGGGGGAAAGCGATGTGGCCGATGACAAGAATATAATGGAGAAATTTGCAAGAGAAAAGGCACAGCAGGGCCAGGGTTGATAAAGGACCATAGAGTATATCTCTCTCGCTCTCTCTTGAGTCCCTTGCTGTCCAGTGTAAATGTATCTTGGCAATAACATGGAGTTGGGTGAATGTTTTTAGTTTTAATGAGGATAGTTTAGACTTGGCAAGGAGTGGGACATAGATATAACATTGGCGTGTTCTTTGTGGCATTACCCATTTTGAGGAGCGCTCACCCAGTCGAGCACTCAAATTCATATTTAGACACAAGCACAGCGTAGTACAAACATACACGTGCAGTTACATCAACTACATGGCTGTCTTTAGGCGCTTAATGACAGTGGTAAATGCTTGTGGAGATGTATAACTGCTTTCCAAGTAAGTCAGTGCGCTTTAAGTAAATACTATCTGTATTTGTTCCAGCTGCAGGCTTTGTTTCTCTTGCGAGCCATACTTAAAAGGAAAGTTTCTTCCTGGAAACGATTATGAACCCCCCACATCATTAACTGAGCTTCAAGCTTTTAGAGAACAGACTCTTATCACACACCCAGCCTTTGTTGTGCTATTACTATGGAATCAGTGTAAATCAACCAATGTTTAAAAGGTTAATCACCAGACAAATACAAAGTTCCTAACGCTCTTCTTTTCCCACCATTTAGAGTCTTCCTTCATGGTGTCAGCCTCATCGCGGACGCCATCCGTTAACTTCGGGGACTCCTTTGACCTCCTGTGCCTGGTGAAGCCCCGTCACAACCCTCGTGTCCCCACATCTGTCACCTGGCGCTTCATGCCTGCTGGCTCCGAAGCTGGCGACGAGGGTGATGGAGAGTTCAAAGACCTGGTGACGTTCACCCGCGAGGGCACTCTGCAGTGGGGGGAGCAGCTGCTGGGGCTTGGTACTCGCACCACAGTGGACCGATCCCACTCCAATACCAACTTCCGATTGTCAGTGACCCGGGCAGGGCGTCGCGAGGCGGGCAAGTACCAGTGCTCCGCCGTCCTGTGGAGGAAGAACTACGACAACAGCTGGAGCAAAGTAGCCAACCGCACTTCCAACCTGCTTGGCATCAGCGTCCTACAGCCAGGTAAAGCTGCATGGCTGCCTGCCAGACACATTTAATTGGAACGGACACAGACCAGTACACAAACAAGGATAAACACAGATCCAGACACAAACTCGCACACATACACATCCAGTGAATTCAGCAGAGCTGTCTCCCTGCTCTAATTGCTCTTCGTCTCTGGGTTATCCACTAATTGGTGTGTGTGTGTGTGTGTGTGTGTGTGTGTGTATGGTGTGTGTGCATGCAGGGCAGGGTGGGGTCTCCTAATGGAGCGCAGTGAATGGATTGCTAAATATCCCACAGGAAGAGAAAGACTGAAGAAACGATATGAATGAGGTAAAAGCGCGAAGCGAAGCACGTAGACAGAGAGAGTGACAAAGTGTGATAAAGAGTGAGCGATCTGTCCTTGAACCCTTTTCCTCAGCGGAGACATTAAACTGTCTACACCGCTTTCATTGGCCCTCTGTGCTCCACACATACACAAGAAAAAACCCATTCAGACACAGCCCAATTAGTGGCCGAACACAAACAACAAGAACACAAGGACACACAAACCCACACTGGCCAAATTTAGCCCAGTCTGGTGTTCCTCAACAGCATGATACTTCATTTATTCAGGTGAACGTGCCCGAGGCAAATACTTATGCTGCAGAAAGAAAACCTAGTCTGGCTTGAAATGCAGTCCAGCAAAGCATTATGGCACCTCAAGTACCAATGGGGTCCAGATTTGTTGGATTTGGCGAGGAGAAATATGAGCAAGGAGCGTGGGTGGAATGAGAAATGGTTTTCAAACTTCTGAAATGCCAAATGTTTTTCTGTGAAGTTATTTTTGTAACCATGAGAAATGCATGGCTAGATGTGTAGAAGTGTGTGTCTTTGCCCTTCTATGTTCAGGTGATGATAAGTAAGATGCTGTATTGACTTTAAAGGGAAACTGCAGTGATCAATAACACTTTCGAAATGAGACAGTGGAATGTAGTCACATGTACAATATAGGTAGTCTCTCATTGCCGGCTGCTATTGATCCAGATAAGCACATGAATGCAAACCAATGTAAACACACACACTGACATATGCAGAATCACCCTTGTAAACACACACACACACACACACACACACACACACACACACACACACACACGCACACACACACACACACGCACACACACGCACACGCACACACACACACACACGCACACGCACACACACACAGCACCCTTGCTCAAAGACAGGGCTTTTACTTGCTTGACTGACTATGCTCCGACCTTAACCACTCAGGCAGAACACATAGTGTCCCCGGGCACTTCAGGAGTTATTTGGAAGTCTAGTTATCATCCTTAATGCTCATATACCTTCTCCACCAATTTGCAGTTTACATCCTTTACCCTTAACCCTGAAAAGGACACACACATTTTGCAGGGGAATAAACAGGTCTTCCTCCCACTCCCTTTTCTCCATGACAAAGTGATCAGTTACCTTGGTAATGCCATCAGTACCCGTGACGATGTGATCAGTTGCCGTCTGAAAGCCAATCAGTAACCATAACGGTGCCATCATTCTGTGTGTAAGGGCACTCTCTCACAGGGGAGGGCGAGTGAGTAATTCCTTAATCTCATTGGTTGCCAGACCCGGCTCAGTCTTGCTCATGTCGTGTTCATCTCTTCCACCCCCTGTGTTTTTTTTTGTTGTGCAGTCAGACCTTAATTTAGACTGATGATTCATTTGTCAGCATGTAGGACGTCTCTCTCTGCCTCACGCCTCTCCTCCCCATCTGCTTTTTCTTCTCTGTTTTCCTAAATGTTAACCACTCCTGGCTAAATAAGCTGCTGGCTTTTTTTAGTTCCCCTCTAAAAGAAGTGGGATACAGTAAAGGGGACTGTGAGTAATGAGGTGTGAGCAAACACAGCATCTGACCAGATTCATAATTGAGGGACTTTAAGTCATGCTTCCAGAGGTACCTGCTCAATATGTATGAGCTGCCTCACTTGCATTATGTGAGCACGTTCATACTTGTGCAATGTCTATGTTTTTGCATGAATGCCCCGGCAACCATGTTTCTTGTGATGTTCCTCTGAGAGCTTCCATGTGCTTACTATGCATGTATACAGAAACCTTCCTCACCCCTGATACACAGCGACACAACAGTAGAACTGTATCTCTCAGTTCTCAGATGGTCCATCTTGTATTCAGAAGAAAGACGAGCGTGTGCGTGTGCGCCTGACATAAGAAGGTTTGCAAATGCGGAATTACACTCCTCATTAAATTATTGGAGGACTTCAAAAGCGGAGAGGGCAAACTAGCATCAAAAATAAGCACCCCTTGATCCATAGTCCATGCATCTTAGATTAGAAGGCGCAAAGTGGTTGGATGTGGGGTGAAAATAAAAGCAGGACTGAACCGGCAAAGAAAGCAGTTAGCCGGTCAGCATGACTTCCTGTCAAACTAGTGAGGTGTCAAGCACAAGCCTATTTCCTGTCCCGGACTGCATTAGTGGTACACTGCCTGTGCCAAAGTCCCATGGGTCATATTAGTGGAGTTTCCCCAACATACAGTATCTCGCATGCACATACACACACACACGAAAAACAATATTGTTATGTTCCAAGTAAGGGCACTGCTGTGCTTTGGCTATCCACCACAGACTTCATGCAGAGAATCACTGCACACACGGGAGCACAAACACCATCATGCTCATGTGCACACAACATGCATTACATACACACTCAGGAGTTCCCTCCCAGAGCAAAAGGGTAATTATCTTATTCCAGAACATTACTCAATTGTAGCAGAGGATTCCCACAAACACACAAACAAAAACACACAACACGTCATATACAGCTGCACATATAGTGGCAGTGTTATTAGATTTCACCTGATTGAGTTTTCTCTGTGTATCTGCCTGAAATACAATAATGGCAAACACATGTTCAGCATGGCAGATCACCAGGGAAGAACACAATCTAATATCACCTACTCATAACTCTCACACACACACACACACACACACACATACACATACACATACACATACACACACACACACATACACATACACATACACATACACAGAGAGAGAGGGACAGAAAACACTCCAAACTAATTATGCTGAATCTTCCCTAATGGAACCGAGTTTAGATTAATGATGGTTATGGGAGTTCAAGACATTTTTCTCATCATTTGAGTGTGTGCATGTGCACATTTGTGCGCGAGTGTGTCTGGTATGAAGAGTGGGATATTATTAAGACCGTCTGGTTATTGGCTGAGCTAGAATAATGATGATGATGATGATAGAGGGGGGGGGGGGGGGGTGTTCCACTTAGAGCTGTTTCTCATTTCTCCTTGCACACCTACGCTTGCCTGGTTACCTTTTGCTCACATTATCAAACATCACGATGCAGGCATGGATGCCTTTTTTTGCTTATTCCAACCTTCCCCTCTTGTTGACTTTTGTTGTGGTTTTGCTTTGATGTAGAGGATATACGTCCTTGTCCTGCCTCATATGCTCTCTCTCTCTCTTAAAGTTCTTAAGGGTATCCTTCAATTTAATAAGGGCTGGCACTATCAGATGCCGCATGTGCTTTCCTTTCATGTCAGTGCCACCCATCGTTATTGATAGTGCTGGCGTCACTGTGGTTATTGGAGTTTCCGGCTTATCTGGGCATGGATAGGAGGTGTCTATCTTCATTAGGCCCGTCCTACCCCCCCCCCCCCCCCCCCCCCCCATGTCCTCATTTTTCGCTCCTGCTCCATCTCCGTCTTTCTACATTTTGTTCTCACTCTCCCCATAAGTCTCTTTTAATGTCTTCTTTCCCCTTCACTCTCACTTAGCTGCATGTTTCCCCTCCACGCACGCCCCCAGCTTCTTTCTCACTCTTGTGATTTTTCAATATTTTATAATTCCCTGCCTCCCTCTTCCTACTTATAATTCTCTCCATTATGTTTACATTTTTCTTCAAATAGCTTCTTCACCATTGTCAGTATTTCATTAATAATGAGGATGTGGTAGCTGTGCTTGTTTGCACACAATAGGGGCTTTATCACAGTGTTAACGCTCGTGTCAGGGTTGTAAATCTTTTCATTTTTGGGATGGAGTAGACGGAGTTTGGGTTTGCCCACAAGCTCACCTGCGGCAGCACTCTGTGTCCAGGCTGTACCGTGTGACTGCAACACCTCCTCTCCTCCTTACAGTTTCTATATGCACATTCAGATAATGAGAGTGCACTTGCTGCGCACAGACACACACATAGACACACTAAGTCGGAATGGATGATAAATGAAGAGCCTTTGAGGGGTGCACTGATACAGAAAATAATTTCATAAAAGATTTTTGATTAATCATGCCTGTTTCAGACACTCAAGGTCAGGCTCATTCCCAGCGTCGTCTTCTTCACAAGGGCAAACCCTGATACCCTCTCTGTGATGCAAAGACACAGCTGCATATTTCTGTCAAATCCAATCCAATCTAGGCCTCGTTTCCTTGTTCACCCCAATCTGAGGACACAATGAGATTCTCTGTGTTATGTCCCTCCATCTCTCTTAAAAAACCTGTGTGTGTGCGTGCATTAATGTGTGTGTGTGTGTGTGTGTGTGTGCACTGTAGACACTGGCTTGTGTGTCCTGCTGCTGTTGTAATTGAAGTCGTAACTCAAAGCTAGCTACAGTTCTGCTCTCCATGTACATCAGTGGCTAATGGTAGGAGCAGAGCCGGAGAGGCTCAGCAGTGCCGCCTCCTGAATACACACACACACACACACACACACACGCTTACACACACACACACAGGAGCCTTCTAGCCTGCACTTACTGAATGACCACTGTTCTCTGTGGTTTAATGAGCATAATGTGTTTTATGCTTATTGGCAAACCCCCTTTCAAACATGCACACAGGCACAGTGCTCAATCTGATGTCTTTATGCTCTCCGCTCTGTGCCAGCTTCTTTTGGGCCATTAATCTCCCTGAGCTCCCCTACCCTGACCTCCTGTCTCACCCCTTTCTTGTGCATCCGTTTTCCTGTTGGGCC